TTTTATTCTATTCTCTTGTTCTGGCGGGGAGGGGGGGAAATAGTCATCCTGATGTACTGAAAAGACTCTCTTAAAATAGCTGTTTCAAAATGCTGAGGTTTGCATCTATCAGTTTAAGGTCCAGGCTGCTTCATGGCACTTGATTTATGGCCTGCCTTTCCAGTGCCAGTTCCACAGAAATACTAAGCAGACGTGAAGCTGCCAATCCTGAATTTTCACGTCACAATAAGGACCAGCACTGACTGGTCTGCAGAGTACCATGCAGTAGTAGTAGAAAGTAGGAGGTGGCTTACTCAGAAGTGACTTCACCAGCCATGATGTCCAAGTATAAGAATAGATACTTACTGGAGTATAACTCCAGTGGTTCGAGATGCTGTGTGTTGTGGTTTAAAATTGTCTGGCAGTCAAACACCATGCAGCTGCTTGCTCACCCTCCCCCAGCCTGGGGAATGGGGGAAAGGATTGGAGGGGTAAAGGTAAGGATACTTCTAGGTTGAGATTAAAAACATAATTGAAATAAAATTATAATAGGAAGTAGAAATGAGCAACGCACAATGCAACTGCTTATCAGCCACTGACCGATGCCCACCCCAGTCCCAGCTAGTGACAATGCCAAAACCACAATCCCAGCAGCAGCAGGAGTGAGCTTTCCCCTTCAACTCTGCTCTATGTACTGAGCATGCCATCGTATGATATGGAATATTCCATTGGCCAGTTTGGGTTCGGGGCTCTGGCCGTGCTCCCTCCCAGATTTTTATACACCTGCATGCAGGCAGGATGTGGGAAGTTGGCAAGTCCTTGATTTCTTAGCAACAACTAAAATCATCAGCATATTATCAACATTCTTCTCATACCAAATCCCACACTGAATCCAAAACACAACACCATTTTAGCTGCAAAGAAGAGAAGAAAAAAAAAAAAAATAGCTCTATCCCAGCTGAAACAGGAAAACAGGACACTGTGAAAGGTGTGAAACCTATAATCTCTTGCTGTCAATGTTTCAGAATAACCATCATCTTAAGCATCAAACTGAAAAGGAACAAAAGGAAGATCACAGGTCTCTTGCTCTTTTTACTCTCCTAAGAGAACCAGGAGGCCCAGGAACACGTACAGCCCAGCTTTCAATACAGCTCACCAAAACGAGCTTCTCAAGAGCGACAAGTATGTCTCTAGCAGGTTTCATGCTTACACCTTTATCTTTGGAGAAGTACGGTAACTGTTGGAGGCATGCTGTGACTCTGCCTCCTCTGATCTGCCCTGCAGCTGGCAATAGCCCCGAGAAATTCTCTCACTGAGTTTCCGTGGCTCTCGGAAGCACTTGAAGGGTTGTTGAAGTATGTCCCAACTCCTGTTTCTGTGGGGGAGATCTGGGCTCTGCCATGCTCTGCATGTGCGAGCAAAGGAGGTAAGTGTGTGTGTGCTCATCTCTGCAAGGAGCTCTGTAAACACACCTGGAGCCTTACGTGGGGGACGCAGAGCAGGGTGGGCAGAGGAGTTCATTGCTCCTTGGAAGCTGTCGTACTGGTTTATGCTGTCCGAGTCACGCTGGCTGGGACCTGCTCAATTTACTGCATAACGGGTAACGCACTGCTCAGACTGCAGAAGTGTTCAAAGGAGAGTTTCTGAACGTAGAGATTGTTGGTAATAATGGGGGATTTGGGCTGGGAATAGGAGGTTTTATGAAAGGCAAGTGAAAATAAGGTGTTAAATTGTATCCTGCATAGGGTTAAATGGATTATGAAACTTGAGAAAAGCCACCACACCTGCTGGAGTTCACAGCTGACTTTATGAAAGAGATGGTGCATGAATGTGGGATGTCTTTAGTTAGCTTCCTTGCTGCACTTCTACTCAAATACAAGATTCACTGAAGAGACATCACCGCCAGTGTTCTGGCAGACACACAGTGCTCTAGTCTCTTACTGTTTTGTCACTATGTGCAAAGGATCTGAAGACTGAGAGCATATTGATTAAAAATAGACTTCTTGAAACTCGGTGGAGAGAAAAGTGTCTAGGAAGTGCCAGTGGCAAAGCATGGCCTGTATATGTATGAAAGGAGCTGACTATCCATGACTATCAGGCCCAGCTGGTGTGGACCGAGAGCCCTAAAGCAATTCAGCAAGTGGCTGTGGTTTATAACATGTCATTTACTTACACTTGGAACTAGAGCAAAGACTGACTACAGACTTTCAAAAGAGCTTCAGAACTAGTCTTACTCAGCATAGGCTAGCAAGTTTAACTTCATTCCAAAAGAAATTGCTAAAAGTTATATATGATAATAAACCATAGGCAGCTGATGAGGTATTTGGCTAAATATTGGGGGGAACCAGCTGCTGTAATATTTCGAGAAACCGTAAGTAAGGATTGCTCTTAAAACTCCAAAGGAGCTTATAAGTAAGCAGAGCGGCATGACATTTAATATAAAACCGTGCAAGTGTTGGTTGAAAGAACACAGGAGATAATCTAGCCCAGACTTGTGCTTGAAGTGAGATGGGTGACCAAGCCAGTTCAGGTCAGCCCTGGCTTTGTCTAGCCATGTCTTCAAAACCTCTAAGGGTGGAAATTTCACAGCCTCTCTAAGTAATCCACACCAGTGCTGTACTGTTCTCCTGGTGGAATAAAATAAAGTGTACTTGTCAAATTAAAAAATTACAAAAAAAATAAAATCTGTGTTTTCACTAAAGCCTTCTAGAGACCCTAAACTACGCATAGAGAGAGAAGTCCTCTATTGGAGCAGTAACCTTCAATCCAAGGGCTTAAATGAGGAGAGCTGAGCAGAAATAACAGTGCCATCCCTGCAGGAAAGGAGGACGCTGCTGAGTTACCAAGAGCTGTGGGTGAGTGCTGCACTGCTGCGTGGGCTCATGACTGAGTTGACAAGAGGAGTGTGGGAGCGGGAAGGGCGATGGACTGCAGGTGTTTGGCAGTCTGTAGGTACTGGGTTATTCATGATGATCAGATACGAAGCTGAATGCAAAGAGCTGCAGAGGCTCTAATGAATGATAGCATGATGAAAAGGCCAATGAAACTCACCACTGATAAACATGAAGTAATGCGTGTGAGGAAAAGTTAACTCTATACCTACAGCAAGTTAGACTACAAATTAACTTGCCACCAGGAAAAAAAAAAAAAAATCTGACTGATTTCATTAGAGGGCTGGAAGGTAATTACAACATTAGGCAATATTAGGAAACAAGTAGATGATGAAATCAGGAACCATCCTGATATCACAGGATCCATCCATGATGTTGCCTTGTTTTGAACATGGCATGGATTTTAGGAGGTAGCAAGACAGAGGCAGCTACAACACCCAGCCTCTTTAGCTTCCTTTATTCTATTTTGTACCCTGAATAACCAGCAATACAGAATAGCCAGAAGAGGTTCAATAGCCCAGAATTCTTCAGCTTGAAGAAGAAACAATGACTGGAGGTATATAACTGGGAATAAAAAACTCAAGTATGTGGAAAATGTAAATATGAAATGACTGTTTCTCCCAAAGCTCTCCTTTCAAGAGAGAGCCTATTGCACTTAACCAGGTAATAGAATCTAAAATAAGCAAAAGGAAGTACATTTTAACACAGCACAGAATTAAACTGTGGAACTCACTGCCCCACAGTACTGGGAACTGCTCACTCCCAACGTTTTGTTACTACTCATTAGCCATTGCATACCAGGCAGCTAAAAGTCAGAGCAATGCATGAGGGAAGAGCGGCAGGTCTCTTCGGTGTCTACAAGCGCTAGTCTCTCCTTTCAAATTCTACGTCAGTCCCCTGCCTCCTTACTGTGCCATTAGCCTGGGCAGCACATGTGCTCTCCAGGGTGTACATGCAGCAAGAGCAGCTTTATTTGGAGCCTAATTCCTCAGTTACCCTGCAGTGCCCCAGACACCACTATGCTTCAGGATTAGCTGGGCTTAAAGAGTCGTGTCCCTGGCTGACAATCCTAGAGTGGCAGTCTGGCCAAACCCTTGCTCCCCGGTGGGGCAGGGAGAGGGTTTCCACCCCCACTGCCTAAGCACTCTCCTTCCTACAGAAGGATTTCCTTGCATCTGCTTAGATGGTAGCATGGGTCTAGTCTCACTTCTTCCATACTTTTGGTACGTATTTTCCAGAGCTTACCATATACCCATTTATCCCCTTCCTGCTCCTCTTCTAATTTCCCTTCACCTCCCTGCTTTCTCCCAGCCTCGACATGCCTACCAACCCCTATATAAATAATCTGTATTCTTTTCAAAACTAGTTTGAGTCCCCTCTGAATAATCTGCTGCACTCAGATTGCACTTCCAAAAATACTAAACAAATACTGCAGCCAAGCAGACATGCTGTGGCAGCAGATCTTGCTCACATTTTGACCCTGGGTAGAGTTCCAGCTTCTGATGGCTGGAGATGGCTTCAGTTCAGTGGTCAGATGTATTCCCTTGAGCTGTTCGGGTCACATGAAACCTGGCTGGCGAGAAACCTCCTTAGCCAGCCTTTCTGCGGCTCACTGCTTGGCACCTCACACATGCCTTCCAGGGGAGCTCAGCTCTTGCTTTAATGCTGTTCTCCCTGCCGCTTCCTCCGAGTGACAGGGTGGGAGCTGTGAGATGGGTGTCCAGCCACGGAGATCAGTGAGGGGGCACGCTCCCATGCACCCTACGACATGCTGGGCTCGGGGCCCGGGGCAGTCTGTGTGCTGAGAACAGCAGTTCATAGCCCCACAGAGCGAGAGTGCCGAGCTCTACCCCTGCGCTGTCACACACCGCTCGCTCGTTCTGAGGCCCCCCGAGGGTGCGTGAGGGCGCGAGGGCAGTTAGGAAGTCAGCTTTTAAACAGAACTCCCTCAACTTCATTGCGTATGGAAGTGACACAAACTCGGAGAGCAGCTCGCAGAAATGTATACTGCTCTGGTGTAAGTCCAGCTCTGTGTTAATTATTAAGGAGTGGCATTTTTAGTCATCATTTACAACAGATTCCGCATGTCTGAAACCTTGTTCCTGTGAAAGTTCACCACAATGTCAAGCATTTAATTAATTTTAAACTTTATTTTAAAGGTGTTACTGCAATTTGTAGAAATAATTGCAAAAACCTCTTTGATTCCTTTCCTGCCCCCTCCTCACTGGGAAAGCTAAATGATTGTATGAATTTTAGACATGCTTTTTAACATCACAGAGTGCCAAGTTTGCCCAGGATATAAATATAAATCCACAGAAGTGAGGAGACAGGAAGAGTTGGTTTACAAGAATACAGAGATTCTTTCAAAGAAATACATAAACATCTTCAGTTAAATTCAGCAAATAATCTGCTGTTCTGCCAATAAGAAACGTATACTTTTTAAAACAATTAAATAAAAAAAAACCAAATAATCGCAACACTTGCAATTTTTCCTACAAAAAAAAAATAATCCTTAAACAGTTGGCAGCTCTTAGTATCAGTTGCCTAAATTCGTAGACTAATTTACATGTAAGAGTACATTACCATGACAACTTTTAAATCTTGTTAAATTCTCTTCTTACTACTTAAAATTTTTTTGGCTGTCTTTTCTTCAGGAAAAGTGAGCTGTAGTCTGGAACCTCCTCCACATGCAAGGACCTTCATCAGGCATCTGTAACTCAGTGCACTTTGAGTACTACCACGACAATGTAGAGTAGGCTTAAAGCACGCTACCCTCAGAATCTAGTTTATGAAGAAGGAGAAAACAGATCATACATAGAAGGCCAAGAATTTATTGTTAGTACAACTGAAATCTTAACTCTCATCTAAGAATCATTGTTAGTGCATATCTAATTGTTATAAGAAAAAACACTTATATACAGAAAGAATTTCAATAATAATAAAAATAATAATACAGTTAAAACTGTTACACTCACGGTTTCTAGCTTCTTCTCTCTTTCCTGGTGTTAACGTTCATCCTGCTGCTGCTTCTCAGGGTCTTCAGGTTGGTGGTTTCAGCCCGGCAGTAGGGGTGCTAAGTCTGGTCACCAGCGCATGGGGGTCTTTTGCTGGGAGGAATGTGGTATTGATTGCTGCATCTTTGTCACTCCTGGATCCACTTGGGGTCTTTTTTACATTTGCCAGCAGGCTTTCACATCTTGCTGCTTTATCACTGGTTTGCAATTTCATGTGATAGCCAAATCTACCATATTTGATGTATCTTGCATATACTAGAAACTTATTCTTTGTTCTGTTATCCATAAAGAGGTGGTTCTGTCTAACTCTAGGTCTGTATTTCTTTTTAACAGAAAACAACTGTTGATTTGTTTATAGCTGCGTAGCCTCCAGTACCAAGCCTGTGCCTCATCTTTTGTCATCTTGTGCCTGTAGTCCTCCCCACTGCATCCTGTGTCTCCACCTCCCAAGGCCTCTGCTATCATCCCAGGCCTGTATTTCTCCACACTACATCATTATTTCAGTTGTAAGTACCTTGTTCTGCACAGAACAAGTACTCGTTACTCCTGTCTGTACACAACTACAGTGGTGCCATACAAGGATAAGCAGAAGTAAAACCAAAACATCTATAACCATGTGGTCAGATGAAAAAATGCTGTTAGAGCTAAACCAAGCTAAAGGCAAACTTGTAGGCAGGTCAGCAAGTGTTCAGCTGAAGCAAGCCTGGCATGACTCAGTGCTGAGGCCTTGCAAACTCAGTGGCAAAGCAGGTGGCCTGTTACTAACGGTGACACCATCTGATACAGGGCTACAGTTTACAAGCAGGCAACTGTCACATCAGCAGAATGCAGTAAGCGATGCAGTAAGCAATGCTGCTGTGTCACGCTCCAGCTGCAGTTACAGCAGCGCCTGCCCTGCTGACAAAAATAAAGCTGTACAGGTGCAGAGCAGCAACATCTGGGATCTTAATTACTGCTTATACAATAAAAGAACCCGGCCTGGTCCTGCAGTCTTGCTCCAAGTTGGCTGGCAGATGCTTGAGTGGAAAAATACCTTACCGGTGAGATCAGCCTGTTCAATACAAGGAAGTGAGAAGAGCAGTTTGTTATTAAAATAGAAGGTAAAATGAGATAATTCCTCAAATAACTGGGTAAATCTTGAGTTTTTGCTCCACGTGCTTTGTTAGATTTGGTTACCTCTGTCCTATGAGAGTAAAAAAATCTTGGCATAAAGAATGCTGCTTTCACAAGTGCCGAGCTTTTAAAAATTAATACTATGTGGAGCTCGTACTTTGTTTTTATAAAAAGGTTGTTGAAACAGCCCAAATTTCAGGCCGATTTTAAATAACACTTTGCATATTGTCAGGAACAACGCCTGGTTTTCCCTGGAAGCACACTGAGGCTAGGTCTGTCCGAGTAACTACAGATGAACGTTTTCTCTGCAGGCAGGGAAGGGAAGCAGCAGTCCCTGGTGAGCTTGGCAGTCCGGGCTCGGCCAGAGGCCGCTCGAGTGACTTCAGCCAGGCGTCCTCTGAAGTTCCCCACCCTGGGGCACTCCAGAAAGTTCAAGCGAACGAAAGGCAGGCTGCATCAGTTTAAACTTCATTAAACCTGCAGAATGGATGCTAATCCCATGCTTTAGTTTAACTCACAAAGGATCGAGTAAAGCGTTTACCGGCTCTCCCTGACCCAAATCCCCAGAGGCTCCCTGTGTTTGCTCACGACTTGCCCGCTTAAACGTCTCTGCACTCCTGCTTCTAGGCCGGGCTGTAAAACGAGGTCGCCCGCGTTTCCTTGGCGAAGGGCGGCCAGGGAGCAGCCGAGCCCCGGCGGCTCTCCGCCTTCCCCCAGCGAGGCGGAGCCGGGGAGCGGCGGGCGGCCGCGGCCGCCCCGGGCCGGCCCCTTCCCCTCAGCGCGGCGGCCATTTGCCGGGCGCCGCCTTCCCGCGCTGCGCGGCCCGGGGCGCGGCTGGCTGCTGCGGCGGCTCGGACAGCGGGCCCCCGCCTCAGCCGCGAGCAGCCCCCCAGGGAAAGATGAAAGGAGGATCGAATACCTCCTCAGGGGGAGACGAAAGGAAACGCTTGGAATACATTCGATCGATTTAGCTGCGTTTCTCACCGCTGCTCCCCTGGGTGTGATGTTGCGAGGGGTTTTACCCCATAGCCTGAGGTGCCACCCGAGCCCGGGGGGGGGTCCTCACCAGCTGCCCCCACCCCTTGTCCCAAAACCTGTTCCAGACGGCTCCCCTCGGAGTTCCACCGGCAGTCCAGGCTGCCGCCTAAGTGTGAAAACCGAGATGCGCCCGACGCCTCAGATGTCTGTGGTGCCCCGAGGTGAGCACTGGGCACCTGCAGGGTGTGAGGCTGTGGCCCCGGCACGGCACCGAGGGACGGGGCCATGCCAGCCAGAGAGGTTGATGGCCAGCCCCGCGTCACGACAGCGTAGTGCCAAGCCCCGCCAACAGCCCTCAGGGATGTGCCCACAGCCCTGACTTGGACCCGCTGCTCCCCAGCAGCAGTGGGAGCTGGAGGCTTCCAGAAAGTTCCTAAGGCAGGTGGAGTGGGCAGGGCGCTCCTGGCCCTGTGGCAGCACTGGTGCTTGGAGGTGCTGGCCACTGGTTTCTTCCCGTGGGGTCTAGGGAGAGGCGGCAGCCTGACACCAGCACAGAAGGAGGAAGGGACTTTGCCCAGCCAGGCTTGTGCCCTGCGCCAGGATGCATGGCCGTTCCCCTGAGGAGGGCCTTGCGGTCAGCTCTGCGCGCCAGGTGTTTCACTGCTCTTACTTGCTTTTCCTAACCTCCAGAGGGTGACATGCTGAAATTTTAGCTTTATAACTACAGAAGTGAGGCATTAAGTTCTTTAAAGGTCAGAACTCATGATAAAGTTCTGCAGGTACAGATGTTTTCTCTTGTGAGCTATTGATGAGCTAGCCACTCCTCTGCTGCTCTTTTGGGTTGTGTATGGAGCATACCAGCCACAACTAGTTTTGAATTCCTTGTGGAAACCTTTTTCCTCATGGGAAAATAGTGATCTGTTAAAGTTGAAACCATGGAGAAGTAATTGTGAACTCTGCGTTTTCTGATGTGAAGAAAAAACCATGAACTAACTTAAGTATAGTTGATGTATCCATCTTCACTAACACTTACAGGAATATATTTATTTAATTTACTCTTCTATTTTGAAATTTACATTCTCCTTTTTCATTGGGAGACCAGTCAAAATGAATAAAACATGTTTCCAAATGTTAACATCCACATTCTGAAAGTGTGTTGTGTCTCCTCGGCCCTGGAGGGAGGCTGTGGTCCTCCAGGCTGCCGTGTCATGCGCCTCCCTTCGGCCCTGCCTGCAGAGCCATTGCCTCCCTCATGGCAGCAGTGCTTGTTGCCACGCTATTTACTTCTCCCCACCATGCACAACACAGTCCTTTCATCCCAGCCACTGTCCTGCATGCCAGCTCATGATCTGCTTTTTTTTCTGTGCAAAGCCTGAGCCTTATGTGTATGCAGATGTGGCCCATGGTAGGACCATTATGTCTGTGAAAGAGCTAGATGTGACAAGTTAAGCGTGAACAGTGATAATTCCTGTAATTTATAGATGTATATAGGTGGTGCTGCTGTGAAACATCAGATTTTGAGTGACCAATGTAGAAGATTTAGGCTTCTGTAGAGATTAGAAAAGAGCTTGTGTGGTCGTTTTGGGCATAACTGTCTACTATGTAGCTACTAAGTAGCTTATGAAAGCTACTTGGTGTCACATGTTGCTTCAGAGCTTACCAACAAATGGATCCATGCTTACTGACATGATCCACCCAGTTGCAGTTACTTCAATATCAAACACTTGGTCCTGTAGGATTGAATTCTAAACAGGAACTAAACATGAAACTAAACATGAATGTGGATTCTAAACATGAAATAGACCCTGGGCCCTAGGCATGCACCAAGGCTGAGGAAGGCACGCTCTTCACCTCAATGAAAAGAGAATAATAAAATGAAGATTAAAATATTACTATTTGAACCTTTAAAAAAGATTCTTCCTTGTATGCATGCAAATTAAATGATGGGGTACTTAACCCCATAATTAATAAGGAGTTGTGACTAGTGATCATCATGCTTGTGCCATTAAAGATCTTTTCGTAAAACACAAAATGGCCTAATTAAACACTGCAGGAACTAAGCAGGTGATGGCTGGAGCTTAAGCAATTAATAATTAAGAAGCAGGAGATAGCATGTTTTCTTCTCAAGTAGTGTCTTCTGGGTACTATAGAAGTGACTGCTGAAGCGCATACACAATGATGATGTGACTTGGATACTTTGTTCCTGGGCAGCATTTTGTCAAAATACTGCTGTGTTGCAGATTTAAGACTCCAGTGGAATATAAATTAATAGAAAAAATCACTCTTGCAACTGTACTCCTTACTCAGTTTTGGAAAATTAAGAGGTTTTTAACTTCTTACAGAGTTTCATTGCCAAAAGCACTTTCTAATTTCTATGGTTAGACAAAAACTTAGATGGAATACATACCTTGTTTTGTTTTGTTTTGCTTTGTTTTCTTGTTCCTGTCCATTACACAGGGAATGAAAAGGGCTGTAAGTGGTTCCTTGATAAAATCTAGGCATGCAGTTTCTATTTTAAAACTCAAATGTTTGTTTTTATGCTACAATACTGCTGACTTTGTTCTAGCTATACATAGTTCCTTGCCTTCTATCCAAGCAATTTGTAACTCCACGGTTCTGTTTTAAAGAAAACTGAGTTGGAGAAGAAACATGCTTCTAATTCAGTCTTTTTTTCTTAACCTAAATAGAGATGGAAATTGAACTTGCTCTTGAGGGAGAAGTAGTAGATGGACCAGAACTACTTAATTTCAGAGTCATAATTCATACTGCTCACATCTTATCATAGAAGTGCAAATTGTACTGTTCTTGAAATTTCAATGCTTTTTTTTTTTTTTTTTTTTTTTTTTTTTCCCTATTTAAAACAGGGATTCGATATCTTCATTTTGGGAGAAGAACTTGGTGTCTTCATTCACAGTAGAAAATCTTCCAGCAAAACCTGACTTCTTTAAGGACTATGAGGTAAATATTAGCGTGATAGCAATAGTTAAAAGCAGAGGTTTTATTTCTGCTGAGTGAGTTCTTTTCTTATCCTATATGTTTCTAGCTGATAAACCGGTTTATTATTAACTTTTTATATGTACTTACAAGTATAGGAAGGCTTGTGAATAGGCTGCATTTGAGAAATTCAGTTGCATCTGAGTCAAGTTCCTAATGATTACATTTAATTGATATGATCATGGGCCCATCCCAGTTGCTGTTAACTTCATATAGACCCTACCCAGTGGCAGATTGTCAGTAGCCTAGTGAATTCAGTAGGAGTTTCTCTTCTAGTGAAAAGGTAAGTAAAGTAGGAGGTCATCCTCTTGTGGATCCATGTGTGCTAATTGTACTGCTTCCAGTTGTTCACCACTGCTCCCTGGTTATACTTTCTTGCATTCACAGCTTGTTATCCATTGAGAGCCAACCGAACTGTACAACTCAGAAAAACATATGTCAGATTCACTGTGACCCAAACAAAGCCAACAGCTGATTTTGTCAACTCTGCCCATCACAGCTAAGCTACTGGAGCTGCGCTCTTCTCCGTTTTTAACTGACATAATTATTCTGTCAAAATGTTGTTGTGTAAACCAAGCTACAGTGTGTTTGCCACATTAGTGTTAACATGACTGGTCTAATACTTCCTTCTAATTACAATTTGCATATTGGAATTGTTTAAGCTGAAGAGAATTAGTAGGTTAAGTGGAGTTGCTCCTGACCTTGGAGCTAAAGGAGACAGTTTTGCTGTCCACCCAGCTCCAGAGCTGTCTCAGAGGCTTTCTCGGTGGTAGAAGAGCATATGAGAGCCTTGTTAAGATAGTGGCTGTCAGCCTGGATGGATGTGTTTGTAGCTAGGAGGAGTGTGGTCATGGTGGAGACTGTGGGTGGCAGAAGAATGGATGCTATGTGGACCCCTGTGATAGAAGCAGTACAGTTTCTTAGCTGCTTTCTTACCCAGCTACAGAGATCCCCAGGAAACTAAAAAGGCCTCTAGAGCATTATGTCTGTGTTCTGAGATCTGTACTTCAGCACTTACTGAAAATTTGAGGCAGTGCATGTATGAGGCAAATACTTCATCAGGCTTATAGCAGTCATCAGAGAAATTCCTTGGGAGTGGTAGGGAAGGGAAGAGGTAAATGCTTGCCCAGAGAAGTTTTACAATTTCTTGTATGACATCTAGTGCACAGCAGAAAAAGGAACCAGTTTTTCTGTGATAACCATAGATTCTGAAATGAGAAACAGCAAGCAGGAAAAAACAGCCAATGAAAGATAGGAATATCTAACCATTGTAGCAAGCTTTTAAGCCTTTCAGTGCTATGTCTTCATAACTGAAGTGTTACCATTTACAGGTGTTGTTTAGGAGAGATGTAACTCAAAATTTTTCACTTTGATGATCGGGACTGATGTTCTGCAACAGAGAATGCTGGAATAGGGAGCATTGACTTTGATTTCTTTCTGCTTAGCTCTAAAATCTGCAAAAGCTTTACATTGTTAAGTGACCCTCACAATTGCAAGCATCTGTTAGTATCAGGTTCCATAGCAGACTTGTTTCTCCTTTCCTAAGCCCCTTTGAATTTGCAGTGCATAATTTTTGTAAATCCTTGGTCTGGATCTTTATTAAAACTTAGCTGGGGAACATGGTACATGACTATAAACTACATCTCTAAAAGCATTTATTCTGCTGAAAACTAATGCATCCGTCCTTCCAACCTACTGCCCCAACCCAAAAAGACAATAT